GTTTTCGAAGCGGGTTCTCTTTCAATCAAGAGTAATATTGCTCGGTACGATTACAACAGAAACAGAAATCTCCCTGAACTTCTCTTATAAAAAAAGCCAGTGAGAGAAGATGAAATTTTTGTACCGTCTCATTGGTTTACTACATTATAAGTTACGTATGATAAAAACCTTTTCGCTGGTTTCCTGTAGAACAATGAGCGCATGAACAAAATACTCGTTTTGGATCCATCATTTCATGCAGCTTCAATGCTGGTCTTAAGCATGTTTCTTGGATGGCAGCCTCACTCACTCTATTCTCTTATCTTCTATTGATTCTCTCACACTTTTGTTTCTACACTTGTTTCCAGTAATGGAGAAAGACCTTTCTTCTGATCTCGATGTACGACTGTACGGAGGTAACAGTCCTCTTCCATTTTAAGACAAAGGTAGATTGAATGTGTGGACATACAGAATTACATGTTTAAGTTTTCTTGTTTAATATAATAATTTGCCTTTTCCTCGATATCTTCCATTCTGCATTGCTATTCCCGTATCTTACGTAAAATAATCTGATCTAATAGAACTCAGTTAAATTAGCCAAAATATCCATTCCTCTGTCCACCTGAGTACTTGATGCCAAGCGAATGGCTGAAACAACAGCTCGCCTACGGATTATACTTCGTCCGTTAGCTTAAAAAGGGTAAAGATGGAAGCTCACTTCTTCAGCTGTCTTTCAGGACGATAATCGAGTGTGCTTGGCGAATGGCATCATAACGAAAGAAATGGATCCGATTTGTCCAGTGGATGAAACTGGAAAATTCACATCTGAGGTTTCTGACTTCCAGGGAATGTACGTCAAGGTAGGGTAATTTCCAGTCTATTTTCTCGTCTGACATCACAGGTTTTCTTGATTTTCAGGATGCTGACAAGCAGATAATGAAGCATCTAAAGGCGGCGGGTCGACTCGTGCATCAAAGCACAATCACACATTCGTATCCATTTTGTTGGCGCTCTGACACGCCACTGATCTACAAGGCGGTCAACTCTTGGTTCGTAAGGGTCGAAATGATGGTTGAAAAGTTGCTGGAATACAACAGCAAAACTTATTGGTTAGTATTTTTTTTACATTTTCGTCCGGAACTTCGACTTTCACCTTAAGCTCGCTGTGGTTTTCATTCTTATTGTGATTAATCAATGTAGAATCGCTCTATCTGGTGACATGTTTTCTTGTTGTTGTTGTCATCCGATTTATCATGGTCAAAGACCGAGTACCCAAATTAATGATGTCTGACGATATGGCTTTTTAGAATGATTTAGACGATGTTTGTTACTGCGGCATAGATCGTGATCCTCGTCGCAAGTAACTCCGTTTCTAGCATCTGCTTTAGGGCGCGATGGTCTTCGACGCGGCTGCGGCCATCTTTTGCTTCCCAAGGGAGAATGGTTTTGGATAAGTTTCCCTTCTCTTTCCGGATAGTTTTTTCAGACCTCAACAAACCGTCTGTTTCTGATTTCCTCTGGCGGAATTCTGAGGCCAGTCTTCTGGATCATTTCATTCGTTATTAGATGAAACCATAGCACTTCCAGTATGTTCAGTTCGCAGTGCTGCTGAAAAATATTCAACATCCTTTCAGGGCGCTTTAAAAGGGTTAATGTTTCAAGGTTGCACATCAGGGTTGAGAAGATGGGGGTTTTCAATATGCTGATCTTGTTGCTGTCTGGATAGATTGATCTTGCTGCACTTTAGAATGTCGCCCGAAGTACATAAGTGCTAATTTATTTGCCGTTCTACTTCCAAATTGCACTCCTATTTCTTGCCAGTACAGAGCCGAGGTAGTTGAAGTGTTTGACCTCCTCGATTGTCGTTCCACTCCATTGAATCTCTGGGTCTTCAGTCGAGTCAGTTGTTCGCAAGATCTTCTTTTTGGAGGGCTTAACTTCTGGGCCTATTTTTGAGACCCCCTTTACGAACACAGTAAGCCATTCGCGCAGTCGCTCAACAGTGCAATGCCATCGATGTACTCAAGATCTGTTATGATTCCTGCTGTGTACTTTCGGCTGAGTCGTCGTCTACTAGTATATTTCTCGCTGTTGTTGGGGACGACGCTCCTCCGCTTCACATAATCCTCCTCCGTGTTGAACGTAGAGGTGAATGCACCTCTTCTTGGTGTGCTCCACTGTTGTTTATGTTAAGCCAGTCGAACGATGCTCTTCTGCTCTGATGGTGCCTTTAGTACCACCGTACTGTCCTTTAAGCAGACGACTTTCTGCAGTACTCTGTAGTGTCACAGCATGCTCCAGAATAACTGACGGTGTACCAGATCGAAAGCTGCTCGAAAGTGGAAGAAATCTACCTGCCCTGGTAGTCGGAGGCTCCTTTTTTATTTGTTTTTTTTTGTATGGCGATGTTATTGGTACACGAAAGTCCAGTTAGAAACCCTGTTTGATTTGATCGAAGCGAAACTTTAACTGCGTTCTTCAGTCTTCAGAGGAGGATTCGCTCAAATACCTATCCAAGCAGAAGCGTGATCCCGTTTTAGTTGATGCAGTCAGAACGATTCCACCATTTGAATATGGGAATGGTCGCGTTCTGCATCCAGTTGTCAGTAGTTTCCCACTTCCTCAAGATGCTTCCTAAAACCAGATAGATCCTGTAAGGTTTCGACTGGACACTTCTGAATTTTCGCATTAGTCCTGTGGTGTCCTCACGATTTTGAACTTCGTCAGAAACTTATGGCATCTCGGATTTCATCTTTCGATGGAACGGAGAACTTCCAGTCCTTGCCTGTCTTCGAACTCTTTTTCCAAGTCATCCACTGGAGTTGGCTGGTTTATAAGTATATCGAAATGTTCAGCCCATTTCCTCCTTCGGCTGTCTGAATTTGGAGGAGACTCCATGAACCTGCTTCGACACAGACAAATTAGAGGGCATATGATTGCCGCCAGTGGTAATAATGCTGACTTCTCTGTGCAGTACCTTCTATTCTTTTTTCTAGGCCGCCTATTCCAAGTTCTGGTCTTCTAGTTCCATACATTGTCCATTTTTGCGAGATGCACAGTAGGTCATTGTTGGTTGAGTCCAATAGATTCTAACGATAAATAACCCAATTTACATTTACCACGGAGCTTTTAGGACCAAGGCACGGTATTCGTTTATATCTTTAATGGCAAAAGCGTTACAGTAAACCGCGTGTGCCATAAGTTATATCAGTAATAAACAGACACGGTATTCTGTATGTATTAATTCTGTTCAGGAAGAGTTTGCTTTCATCACTCGCATATATACAGCGTACTACCACAAGACAATTACAGTGATACTTACAGAATGCAAGATACAGTACTTTGCGGTAGTTGGGTTCATGGGGGTACGAGTTAAGGGCGGTAACAGTTCAGTTCTTTTTCGGTGTGATGAAGTGTCCTCGTTTAGGGGTACTCTGAGGGTAGCTGGTTGTTAAATCTATTATGAAGCTTTGCTTTGTATCTTTCACTCTTCGTTCGACGAAGGAGCTGACCTGTCATAAACAGTCTACGGAATGGTATTAGTGTTTCGACGGTATTGCAATCTTCCAGATCTCGCGATTGCTGTAATACTCATCCTCTTAGCACAAAATCACCTTCTGCTAAGCCTTCGAAGTAGGCTGGAGATGCAAACATGATAACAGACATCATGCCGAAGTTTCGAAACCGCCAGCGCACATCATAGAGTATTGCAAAACCTTTTGATGCAGCTGTCATTAACGATTACACCGAGGTACTTTACTTTTACACCCTGGTGACTGGCATCTGGATTAGGTTAGTTTCATCTCTAGCAGGATTGAGAAGTCGTGGTTATACGTGCTTCGAGCAACAGAAACAAGACGCTTAACGCACTTGTTCAAGTTGGAAACCAATCCGTATGAGTTGTGCCATAGTTAGTTTCTTCATTTGCAGACGCTCCTGCGTTTTTAGAGATCTTTGCAGTTTGCCAATTACCTGTTTATATGGACTGTTATGTCTGTATAGCAGAAACTGTTGGTTCAGAAAGAATGATGTACAGTGTGTTAGCCTCAAAGGTCGACGTCCCTCTTGGTTATTGCTATGCAAGTGAATGAAAACATCTGTAAACTGTGTTAGAATGTTGATCTCCCTATGTGCCTCTTATCCCATTCGATGTCATTCCTGCTTTTAAATACTGTTTGAATATTCGTCATAACATTTTTATGATTATTCGACATGATATTTTTACTACTGCATTCTGTTAATTTAGGGTGCCAGATTTTGTGAAAGAAAAGCGGTTTGCGAACTGGTTGCGCGACGCCCGCGATTGGGCAATCAGTCGTAATCGCTTTTGGGGCACGCCCATACCGTTGTGGATTAGCGACGATGGCGACGAGGTGGTTTGCGTAGGTTCTTTGGAAGAACTGCAGGAGCTGACCGGCGTGGCTGTGAACGACTTGCATCGTGAGAAGTAGCGTTGCTCCTCTAATTCTCTCCATCAGTGTGAAGTTTAAACTTCTTTAAACGTAGTGTCGACTCGCTGACGATTCCGTCTGCCTGTGGTAAGGGCGTGCTTCATCGAACTCCGGAAGTGTTCGATTGTTGGTTCGAGTCTGGTTCAATGCCTTACGCTGAGCAACACTATCCTTTTGAACACATGCGTGAGTTCGAGATCAACTTTCCTGCCGATTTCATCGCTGAGGGAATCGATCAGACCCGCGGCTGGTTCTACACGCTTTTAGTGCTTTCTACGGCGCTATTTGGCAAGCCGCCTTTTAAGAACGTGATTGTAAGCGGCTTAGTGCTCGCCGCAGATGGTTCGAAAATGAGCAAGCGCAAAAAAAACTACCCGGATCCAGTGGAGGTCGTCAACCGGTTTGGTGCAGATGCTGTAAGACTCTACCTCATCAATTCGCCGGTTGTCCGAGGCGAATTTCTCCGTTTCCGAGAAGAAGGCGTCCGTGATATACTGAAAGACGTCCTCATCCCTTGGTTCAACGCGTACCGGTTCCTGGTCCAGAATGTGCAGATGTATGAAAAGGTGGGGTTGCTGTCCATCCGAAGCATACACATTATTATCTGGTTATGAAAATTAGTGATACACTTGTCTCTTCACATAAACTGAGTTTCAGATACCTCTCGCATGATTAGACGTTTATTCTTCTAACATTATTTTATTCCAGATGACCAGTTAATTGTAAAACCAGATATTTCTTTGCCCAACCTTTCAGATCATGCCTGTAAGAAAAGGAAGGAATATTTGTTACCGTTGGAATGTAAGTCTTTCTAACATTTTTAACGTGGAGCCATTTCTTCTTTTTATGAAGTTAATAGTAAGGCGTTTTTCTCTATTTCGATTCTATCAGCTGGTGTGCCTTATAAAGGCAGATTCGATAGCAGATGTGTAGTAAACGTAGTGTCTAGTGTTATCATTACTTCCGATAGAGCGGTACTCAGTTTTCAGCCTCGGAATGAAGAAGTACTAGTGAGCCCAACGGCAACTCGAACCCGGAACCTCTCGGTTGGAAGCTTGATTCTCTATCGACTGAACACCCTATGTGGTAAATTCCTTGGTCAGAGAATTTCATGGTTAAATCAGAGAATTCTTCTCCGCCGAAATCGAACCAGCACCTCCGCAGTTCGAAGCTGATCTTATAAACACTGTGCCACTACACCTACTATTTATACCGATACTTTTCAATGAAAGAAGCCTCCTCAAAATCGAATGGCTCTTTTAGAATCTTACTCTAATTTAGGACTGGGCATCCATAAGCTTGTGCATTTACAGACTGACATCTTTACAGAAAGTACGTAACTGATACATGAAGACAGCAATGGTTTGGTATCCCAATGCTGGGTTTCCTTCCCAAAAATATTTTCAAGCTTAGAGTTGCTATATTTAAGGGTTGTAAGTTATGCTATAAGGACTATTGTGGCCGACCTGTTGCATCGTCTAGTTCGATGATATCCAGTTCATTCATTTTCTTAATCAAAATTTCCAGTTTTAATGTTTCTTGACATTGTGAAGGAGAATCAGACTTAATCAGAATCATCGCTAGGCACGTATGATAAGTACACCCGGTGAAGATTTAATTTAAATGGGTTTGACTGTTGATTCAATATCATATCGCATCATCCATTTGCAAAAATTTTTGCTGATTGCAGGAGAGCTTGACAATCATTCTGGTTAGATAACAGCATCTTTTCTACACGTGTGCTTTTAGGAGGAACATACAAAGTTCACAGCCAAACTGGTAATCTCTGATAATCTGATGGACCGATGGATTATGTCTTTCACTCACAGTCTAGTAGCTTTCGTTCGTCAAGAAATGGAAGGTACACGTTCGACGCTTTGTATATTATTATTTCTGTTTTTGTTTATATTTAAATTATGTGGGTTTTGAATGCTTGTCTCGCTGTATGCTGCGTCCAGAGACAGAGTTGACAGTGTGGTTAGGTAGTGTGAATTGCAGCACCTTATTAAACGTACACTGTATGCTACCGGAGTTGGCAAGATCAACAACACCTATTACCCTTAATTTTTATTCACCGGTCACTTCATGATTTGAGCGAAAGATTTAACCCTCATTTAGGGTTTCAACTAAAGTAACTGAGAGGCTAATTTTTTGTCACCTGAAGTGATCCTCTCTCAGTTTCGAATTTTTTACCCGTTATTCCTTCTATATGAATTTTTGTTCTGTCTAAATGAAGTTCATATTGAGATCAAGTAATTAGTATATCATTAGCATGAAAAGGTCGAGTAAATGGGCATTTGTCTTCGTGTTTTCGAGGCGAAGGTTTTGACAACAGGCATATATCTTAATACCAACGTATATTGAACGGAATGAAAGATTGTTTTTCATTTTTTGGTTATGGCATGATCCAGTTATTATGAAATATATTTGTTTTAGTTCGTTGTTCGCCTTTTAGCTTATCGCCTATACACCGTGGTTCCTCGTTTATTGAGGTACGTCGATATTCTAACCAACTGGTATGTGCGAATGAATCGGAAACGATTAAAGGTAATTAGTCAGTAATGTTGCTTATTTTCGTCATTTTGACATCTTTGCTCTACCATGGAATTTAGGGAGACACCGGGCCCAACGATCGTCTCGAATCGCTCGAAACTTTAACTCATGTGCTAATCATTTTGGTGAGATTGATGGCTCCGTTAACTCCGTTTCTAGCCGAGACTATGTGGCAAAATCTGAAATTCCTACTGGACGAGAACACGGACTTGAGTCCTGAAGAATCTGTGCACTACCTGATGTTACCTTTATCGAAGTACGCAGTGGTTAATAATGTTAAATTGAAACTTGGCGCTCATGTTTAATTCTGTTCTGTAGCGGAAATATTTTTAACAGTTCATAATATGTAACTTGTTAGCATGTCGATTGTACTGCAAATCTGATGAGTACTGTATGAGGAGTATTTTGCAGCGCTGAACTCATCGATCCGCCATGTGAAAGACGTGTGAGCAACATGCAGAAGATTATTGAACTTGCGCGGGTCATCCGAGACCGTAAAGCCATACCTGTCAAGGTAATTACAGACCTCATTTTTAATTATTTGTTTTCCTTTTCTTGTGTTTACTTTTCTTGCAGTTTTAACTGAATTGTGAAAAATGATAGTTGTGACCATTCATTGTGGGAAATGACAAAATAAATGTTTAAACAATTTCTGAAAGCCATCTCTTCTTTAATATGTTGTCACTTTGGTGGTTTTAGACACGCAATAATGAGCAGACAGTATTATTTAACTGCCAATGCTTTAACCAAATTACTTTTGCCATCCTCACGGCAGGTAGTGCTGAACCGCTAAGTGACTGTATAATGAACACGAATTTAGGTAGCCGTACTTTTCCGTACTACTGTGGTCTTGCCAATACAGTTTGCGCCTAGATCATCCTATTTCTACAACTGCTTTTTGAAAGTGGCCATAGTAGATAATAGAGTAAATGCTGTCGTATAGAGAAAGTTTAAAAATTATCAAGAAATTAATTTCAATGAATGAATGTAAGTCTGCTGTTTGAATAGGGTCGTCAAAAAATTCTATCTTTTGGTAGAAGAAAAGTCGGGTTTCATGAACAATTTTTCGAAGTATGATTTTATATTCATTATTTAAATAAGTTAGAACGGATTGACGAGTACATGACAATTGTTCGATATGGAGCGAAATCCTCAGAGATTTTGTATTTCATGATGCTAAACCACGTATACAGATGCAGGATATTCCCAACTGTAATTGTCCTCCGCTTGGATGACTGGCGTTGCTGGTATCGTTTTGATGGATTGAATTTGAGACGCTGACCGAGGAAATGTGATGGCATGTACAAATGTGGATTTACTTCGAAATGAATTGCAATAAACGGCATAGAGTGTGTAGTACGTTAAGAGTCAGAACTAGGTTTAAGATGCTGTCATTGCGAACTGCCATCGTAAAACTGGTCTTTTCGTGTAGCTGTTTATTGTCCATCCATCTCGTTGTGTTCCTTCAGCGTGTTTACAGGAATCGTAATGGATGGCATGATTCTTCGTTTTGCTTTACTTCATTATGGCTGAACTTTTGTTACGGTTGTTTCCGGGATACGTTATCTTGTGGCCTGCATATCATGGCAGATGTTTGATGTGGTATTACGGTTCCTAGTATCGTGTTACCTCAGTGTTATGTTTGTTTTGTTTTTGAATTCTTATTTTGAAGAAATCTGCCTATCTGTAGTTAGCTACTCTTATCCTAACCATCAACCCGTTACCTATGGTGATTGTCACTCAAACGGATGGATTACATATGGTTTGACCATTGCTATATGTGGCTTATCAATGTCAGTTGCAAAATCTTTGCGAACCTGTTTCTGGGTTGGTCAACCGTCACACACTCATCGATCCGTTCTAATTGATTTACATTTGTAAACAATTAATTCATTATGTTTATTTCAGTAAATTGTTTACGATGTCCAATTTTTAACCAGTCCCTCGTTCCCCTTAAATTTCCTTCGAGAATGCACAACATTAATCGCCTCATTTGTTTCCATTTTTGGCATAATCCATCAAGCGCAATTTATACCTTACAAAGGGAAATTTTGGAAGTCGTTGTTATACGATAATGCCAGAAATGTGTATGTTACCATCCTGAGTGTCCATATAATGTCATGCCGTAATTAACTGAACTTTACCGCTGTTCAATTATGCCATTTCTTTCAAGAGTTCGCAGAGACCCTGAAGGACAGAAAGCTCTCGTTTTAAACGGTTTTCAAATTTAATTAAACAACAGTTTTTTAATATATGTATGCATCCTGATATATATGAAGTTAGTTCTGTTGTTGATAAGAGTTATGTTACACAAGCTGATATGCCGTTAATGTGTGTTGCCCATGAGTCTCTACTGACTTAGGCTTTGATTCATTGTAAATTTGCCCTCTGGTTTATGCGTTAGTCTAGCATTAGGATTAAGCATAAGCTTTGGCTTAAAATTGGGCATAGGCCCAGTTTCAGTTTATTCTTGGGCTTAATCTTCGGCTACTCTTGGCTGAATGCTCAGTTTCAGGCTTGAGCCCAGTTATTGGGCTTAGACTTAGATTTAGACACATGCTTATCTTTGACTTGCGGTTAGGGTAGGCGTAGACTTAGCCTGACGGTTTGGATTAAGCATAAGCTTATTCACTGACTGAGGCTTAAAA